TTATGACAGGTTGGGTGGAAGAGGTGGGGAAAAGACACATCAGTAATGATCACTCATTCTGTACTTCCAAGTGATGGAAAGAATGGGGTTTTAACTAAAATGGATCGCTGACAAGAGAAAGGAGAGACTGGGGTTGGCCAAACAACAGATCACTATTGAAGATTCTGACTTGGTGATGCGACGCGGGTCCTGTCAGCGTGGACGTCCTGTGCGTGGTTGGAAGCACAGGCCTGGCACAGAGGAGGTCAAGCAGTTCTAGGTTTGTATCTGGGGGAGTCGTGTACAGGCGGTGCAAGCAGAAGCTAAAGGAATGAATAATGTCAACAAGGAAAAGTGGACGAGAAAGAAGGCTCGGCACAAAATCCAGAGCCAAACTAGGGGCCAGCAGGGCAGGAAGAGGTAGAGTGAGGGGAGAAGACGAATCAGGAAAGGGGAACTTCAAGGAGAAAGACTCAAGAAATTGCTGGTTAACAGTGTCAGACGACTTTAAGAGAGATTCATGACCACACAGACAGACAGACAGACAGACACACACACACACACACACATTCATCTGGCAGAACGAACATCTTTGGCAACTAAAAGAGCAATTTCAGCTGTGAGGAGGGAGCTGGATCTCAGCAATAAAAGATAAAGAGGTGGGGAGAAAACGGGGTGAAAATCTCCCCAGCTGGACCACAGCATCTGGCAACACTCCCTGTAGAGCTCAGAGCTCAAATCAGTCGATAATAAATGTACTGAGCATCTTCCGTGGCCCAGCATTTACCAGCCCTGTAGAGACAGACAGTGTATGATGCCGTTCCTACCAGGAAAGAAACTTTTATGAGCACATACAAATGTAGCACTGGGGGTAACCCTCCCGCCACCAGGCTGTATCTTTAGCAGGATTGGGGGTGGAAGGAAGGAAATGCACTGGAAAACATTTCTGGATTTTTCCACCCCCTCTTCTATGCAAACAATATAAAACAGGAAACCAATTATTTAGCAGGATTACAGCTGAAATGCCTGGATTTAAAACATCCATTTCCACTGATGGCCTCACACGGTCCAGGCAGCCAGCTGTCGGAGGGGTTGGAATGTGACGTCAGGCCTCTTTGCACCAGGAGACGCAGATGAGGACTCCCTGAGCCCTGCAGAGCGCAGAGCCCTGTCCAGAGGTGCTTCGACCACAGCCCCTCCCCTTCTCCTGTAACCCTTTCACAAATCCCCAGGGATGGAAGAAGTGGAGAATGCGAAGTTTGAGTGGAGCTTTTAAAAAGAGTGCTGCAACAAATTGCACACCACTCCAAAAAAAAAAAAGTATAGTTAAGCAGAATTTACATCAACTGGAGGCAGCTCTGAACACCCCAGCACATCAGCTCATCCCAGGTCTTCTTCCAAACCAGCACTTCCAGACCTGACCCATGGTGAACTCCGCTGGAAAAGTCCAGGTTTCAAAGAGCGTCCAAAATACTGTGTGTATATGTGTCTTCCAGTGGGCTTCCTGGCCTTTGCACACAGAGTCAGTTCCTATCAGTGGAGGACTGCAGCTTCCCATGTGCCACCAGCCCACCCCCTCCTGGAGGGGACCATGTCATGGGACGGCACCAAGGAGGGGACTGACGGCTCCCACAGTCAGGGATCACTGTGCATCTCACCTGGGGCAGTGACCAGGTGACAATGGTGGGGTGGGCCACGCTCCCGCCCTTCCCCCAGACTCTACAAGACAAGCGCAGGAGGTGAGCCCTGGGTTCCAAGATAATCTGTTCATTGGTTCCATAAATACTTAAATTAGTGCAAATCAAGTGGGAGGTTCTGGAGTGGAGAGGCAGGGACACGATGATGTCCAAAGAGTTCCCTGCTCTCAGGTTCCCCTACACAAAGCGCCCAGGGAGTTCCAAGGAGGGTAAGCAGGGAATGCTTTGAGACTGGGGGAGTTTCAGGGCGCACAGACAGGGCGCGTGCACTCCAAGGGAAGGAGACCCTTGAAAGGAGACCAAAGGCAGGTTCGGGGCATCATGAAGGGAGTGTGACTGGACGGCTGGTGGGCAGAGGACTGTCGTGATGCGCAGTGGTCACATGAGGCATAAGATCATGGACTCTGGAGCCACACCGATAGGATTCAAATCCCAGTTCCACCACGACCTTCAGACTCCTGAGCTAGAGCGCACACCTGCCAGTCTGGCTAACCTACCCCTCCAGACTCTAGGGACAACAACCATAGAGTGCTGGGCGTTCCACTAAGCTCTC